ATCTCCATGAGGGTGGGAAAGCAAGGGTCTAGAAACTGTCATGTGGGTGCATAAAAGGTTTTCCAGTACCTCCTACAACCACCATGGGGCCTTCGGGGTCACATCAACACGAGCAACACCATCACCACAAGTCTACAGGGTCCCAGAGACTATAATGTAGAAGAAAGAACACTTTCTGAGGAATTTGAAGATACAGGAGAAGGACAGTATAAAATGGAGTGGTTTTTTCTAGGAATCCCATGGGATACATTGGGAGCTGGCTTGTGAAAGGAGAGGCAGCAGGATTAGGATGAAGGCCACAGAATGTGCTATAAAAACTCAGGAGACACTGCAATCCTGGGTAGTCTCAGGAAAGACCAGGAATTGAGAAACAGAACCACTTGAGTTGGAAGGGAACAAATGAGCTAAGAGAAATGTAGTTAAATTTTTAGTAAATTCTACTCTTCAGCTGTGCGTGGTGGCTCATGCCTGTAATCCTAGCAACCCGGGAGGCTGAGGTGGGAGAATCACTTATGCACAGAAATTCAAGACTGCAGTGAGCCATGATAGTACCACTGCACTCTAGGCCTAGGGGACAGAGCAAGACCCTGTCTTAAAAAAATAATAAATTAATAAATAATTAAAAAGTCTTCTTGGTGCTTGATGAACCTGAGAAATGGGAGCTCCATTTCTGGTTACGTGGTGATTTCTAAACATGTCCTCATTTAGATGACATCATTCTCATGTGAATTGGTCTTGTTTTCTGAACCTGGCTTTCTGCTTAAAGCAAAATTGGGGTTCACTCCAGTGATATGAACACGAGCCATATATATAATTCAGAGAATGTACACCATTTTTGTAAAAGTGCTCTCTTCCTTTTCAAGTCATGCTAAGGATAACTGCAAGGATGTTATAGCACTTGGAAGGCCTCAAAGGAGGGGGAAGGAACTGACTCTAAGAGTAAAAGATTGAATGATTGTCAGGCGGGGGGCCAAGGGAAAGGGGAACACATCTGCCAACTCTCTACTCCCCATCCAAGTGCTCCAACTTCCCATCCACCGCCAAGACACATTTTATTTTTCTGACATGAAATATGTATATAATTCTAGCCTGATTTTTTAAAGCACAAGAGGGTTGATTCTGTTTATGCCTCCCTCTACTCCCACCCAGTGCAAACATTGGCCTCCAGCCTGGTGATGACGACAGGACCTAGCAAACAGAATCCAAGAGCCAGGAAGTAGATGGCTAAGTAAATATGCCCCCCAATGCTGACATGTTTAACCAGGTAGGTGTAGAGGTGGAGGATCTGGACAGGAGGGTTCAGGCAAGGGAAGTGGGTAGGAAAACAGCAATAGCACTTAATGACTGTTTTTTTTTTTTTTTTTTTTTTTTTTTTTTTTTTTTTTTTTTTTTTTTTTTTTTTTTTTTTTTTGCGTGGAGTCTGAAGCTCTTTGTCTGGTTCCCACATCTGAACTTCAAGCAGCATCTCCTGGACTTAGCTCTTGGTGGCTGGAGCAGGGAAAGTGTAGCCTTATTGAAATGGGATCAGGTTTTAGGATGTTTCATGTGTGTACTTGACACACACAGCTTTGCATCTTCATGAGCAAATAAGATTTATATAAGAAAGGAGATGTAATGTAAATTAAAGGAATTGAGCAATGGAAAATACGTGAGTCCGTGAATCAAGAGATTAACATTATTGAACATTTCTGGTGCGCCAAGGCACATCCATGCTGATAAAGGAAGCCTCCCTGCAACGCATCTTGTAGCTGTTATCTCATTTCATTTAATCCTCATGTGGCTGCAGGTCAGCAATGGGAAGAACATTTAAAGATATCACTCCCACTGCAGAAGGCAGGAATCCATGGCTTCAAAAATCTTGTGTCACTACTAATTTATTAAGTTTCCTAAAAAATGATTAAATTTTATGCAATGTTTCAATGCTTCAATGAGAAGAGTGGTTCTATTTTCTAAGGTTGTATTCATTCCCAGCACCTGGCTTATAATATATGTATTTTTATTACACACATTTTTGAATGAAAAAATAGGTGATAATGAATGAAGGATTTATTTTCTCTGTGCTTCATTCTGAGAAACATAAAAGAAGAATGTATTAATTCAGCTCAATTTATACTACTTATTTTTTGGTCTCAGGGAGCTGTGGGAAGGATGTTTACTGAAAACCAAAGCAAGACCTTCCTCTTTTTTTTTTTTTTTTGAGACAGTCTCACTTTGTCACCCAGGTTGGAGTGCTAGAGTGCAATGGCAAGATCTTGGCTCACTGCAACCTCTGCCTCCCAGGTTCAAACAATTCTCCTACATCAGCCTCCAGAGTAGCCAGGATTACAGGCACCCGCCACCACACCTGACTAATTTTTGCATGTTTTGTAGAGATGGGGTTTCATTATATTGGCCAGGCTGGTCTTGAACTCCTGACTACAGGTGATCTGCCTTCCTCGGACTCCCAAACTACCAGGATTACAGGCATGCGCCACCACACCTGGCCAACCTTCTCTCTTTTAAGTGGCTGCTTCACTTTGTTGCTCCTTTATGTTCAGGTACCAGAGTGCAAATGTTGCTGAGTGCAAAGTATTGTTGCTGTGGTCAGCAGCTTTATCATAGGGAATCGCACGTGCTCTTCCAGTAGCCCAGGTTAGACCTCATCTAGAGAGGGATTTGACATTTACAAAGCTGAAAAAAAAAAAAAAGTTAAATCTGTAAGAGATTCTTCAAATTTTTGCTCTGGGTCTGTCTTCCCCTTTCTCTCTCCCTCTTTCTCTTCCCTCTCTTAATCTATAACTCTATCTACAAATGTTTCTGTCTGTCTTAGAATGGAGACCTCAAATACTTGCCATAATACTTTGCCCTGGGTAAGACTGGAATCTGAAAAGGGTATTTCTCATAGGTTGTGACTCAAAACAATATTTGTTATTATAAGAATCAAAACCAAAGAACATGCCCATGTAGGGATATGCCTCAAATTCAAGTTATTAATTAATTAATTACTTGGGTTAATGTTCTGTATTTTTAATTCTCAGTTTTTCATGCTTCTGTGCATGCCCACAGAATACACGGCCTTTCCACTGGACTGCTCCTTGTGCAGCCTCCTCCTCAATTTTTGGCTCGTCTTCTATCTATGTTTAGACACCTGAGTTCATCACTACACTCTCCTTTCTCCAACTGTTGTTGGGTGTATTCCCATGCTCCTATCTGCAAGCTGGACAGTTATGGAGCAGGACTCGCAATAAATTAAGATGGTATTTAAATAGCAAATGGGCTCTTCTCAGCCAGAACAAAATAATATATTCTATTTTCAGCCAACATGAGGGAAGTTCTGGAGGATTGTCACTAAATATGAGATGATGCTTTATTAGGCTAGTGGTATAATGCTATCTTTCATATATTATCCTGTTCCTTTTTGAGATGTATTTTTTTTTCTATATCCCCACCAAGTATCACATCTCAGCTTTCATACTCCATAACTGCAGGGGTCCATTCAAGCAGACTGCAATGAGAAAGGCGCTCCCTGGAAGTTTGCAGGGCATACCCAAGCAGCCGTATGTGTGGCACATATTATTAAAGTCATAGTACATTAGCACTAAAATGGAAAGTATAAATAATGTACTCCAATTTCTACCTTTCACAGATAGAAACTGAGGTCCAGCAGTGGAGGTTCTTCCGTATTTTCATACAGTTATTTATCCAGCTGCTATATGAGTTCATGTGTAGATCATATATTTCCTTACTATTATCCAGTTTTGATGCATAATAGCATTTGATGAGGACTAAACTTTTATTTATCATATAACATTGTTTAAAAATATTTTCACTTTCATAAACTTATAAGATCCCCACTTCCAGTCCCACCAACACAGAAGTTTTCTTAATTTAAAAACCATTAAAAATGGAAATAAAATCAAAATTTTATTCCAAAATGTTTTGCATGAAAACATAAATACTCTTCCTAAGAAATAGTTTGGGGTAGCATGAAATATACGAATATAGACTTTTTAAAAATTCCTAAAAAACACCCACAGTTTTTTGGTCTTTTTTTTTTTAACACGTGATCCAATCTTGGGCAAAACCTACTTTTTGGTCCCTGTCTTCTAAATAGCATAAGCTTTATCTTTGATGAGTAGCATATCCAAGAAAACAGAGGTCCACAGCCCCCTATGCTAGAAAGAGCATGGGCTAGGAATTAAAAGACAAGTGTCCCTAGACTTGACTGTCTTTAGTTTCACTATTTGACTCAGTCAATTTTATTTCCTTCTCTGGTCCATAGTTTACCAGTTTGTAAAAACAGGCTAGACTAGATGATCCCTGAGGGTTCTTTTCAATATTTCATAATTTATTTTTCTTGAATTAGGTAGAAGGTAAAGACAAATAGTTGTAATAGCATAGGATTGTCTGAAGATTTAATGATTTCTACTGTAGGGCATCTAATTTTCAGCCTTGCTGCCTATATTTCCTTTTAATGGGATCATTTTGCTATACTATTCATAACTAATATACGACTTCTCTTTACAATCAACTAGCTTGATCTCTGAAGTGCAATGTCCTGGTGCCATACTATCACTGCCACCCCCACTTTTTATATCTTGGAATTCCTTAGCCTTGAAGCAGCTTCTTGATTCTGAGCTGGGTATTTGTTTATTTGGTGTTTTCTATCAGCTGGGAATTCCCATTCCGAACTCTCTGTTCTGTATTCATCCTCTCTCTGGTCTCTGTGCTCTTGGCTTCCTCACTGATTATTCTCTTGCCTGATATCTTTTTCTTTATGGCTCCTTTTTTTTTTTTTTTTTTTTTTTTTTGCCAGTATATTTAAGCTCAGGGTTGGTTTTTTTGGATCCTTTCTAACAAAATTTTGTTTATGTTTTCCTTTCTTTTTCTCCTTGCTAGATTATCTGTGCCTTTACTATAGTTTTATTCTAGAAGCAACTGCAGAGAATTTGTCAGTGCAGCTGAAGGTTTTCCCATTTGTTTACTGGAAACTTCCTTCTCACTCCGAGTCTTCTTATTCTCAGGAGGTGCCACCTTCTAAGTGATATCACTTGGATACTGAAATGTCTCCATGAACTGGAAGAATATATGCTTCAGTGTGGTAAGCAGAATTTCTAAAATGACCTCTTCCTCATGACATATCCTGACATAATCCCCCAAATTTGTAAATATGATGATATATCATTCTTGTGATTTTGTGTTATGCTGTATGGTACATGTATTAGTCAGGGGGTTACAGAATAAAGGAACCTATGGGATATATATATGTGTATACATACACAGATAGGAAGAGATAGAGAGACAGAGATTCTTTATTGATTTCATTGAAGCAAAAATGTAACCTTTCCTAAACCAAATGGAGTGCTGATAAACAAACCACATAAAGGAAGACAAATAACATTGGCCAGGCGTGGTGATTTACGCCTGTAATCCCAGCATTTTGGGAGGCTGAGGTAGGCAGATCACCTGAGGTAGGGAATTCAAGACCAGCATGGCCAACATGGAGAAACCCCTTCTCTACTAAAAGATACAAAAATTAGCTGGGTATGGTGACAGGTGCCTGTAATCCCAGCTGCTCGGGAGGCTGAGGCAGGAGAATAGTTTGAACCCAGGAGGCGGAGGTTGCAGTGAGCCTAGATGGCACCACTGCACTCCAGCGTGGATGACAGGTGGAGACTTTGTCCCCCCCCCAAAAAAAGCATAATATGTGTACCTATGACCTATGACAACCATACTTTAAAAGACATGTTTTCCCAACATATGGAATAAATATGTTCCATATAATAGTATTCATATTTAAGTTTATACCTCTAAATGAAAAACGGAAACATTTTTATTTTTCAGTTGGAGATGGCTTAAAGATATACTTATTTAAGGATTTCAAACTGACCACTCACAGGCTAAATATGGTTAAATATCGTTTGGCCTATACAAACTTTAAAAAAATAGGAAAATGTTACAAAAAGCCTGCACATGAACACTTTAATCTGTAATACCAGTTGAAATTATTTTTTAAAAAACAGATATTGCTTAGAGCAAAATTTACACAAATAAAATTGATGGCATGACATGGGTTAGGAGACTTGGCCTTAATGTCTGAACGTAATATTAAATCCCTTTGTTACTCCGTTTTCTTATATGTACAGTGAGTTGTTTAAACAACAGCAAGGGTTGCCAGCCCAAAAGCCTTCAGGTGACAGGCAAGTGATGTAAGAGTGAATACACCAGGTGCAATACAAAAGTGAGTAATGGAGCCACAACAATTGGAGAATTCACAAACTACCTCAAGGAGGCACCAGCCTGTTATTGCCATGGGAAGAAATGGGCACAGTGTTGCCAGATCTTTTGACTTTTCAAAAGAAGTTGGTATCTATTTATTATAAAGATACCAATAAAAATTATTATTATTGCTGCTCACAGAGGCTGAGAAGTCCCATGATCTGCTGCCTGCAAGCTGGAAACACAGGGAATTGGTGATGTCGTTCTGAAAACTGGAGGGTCAATGGCATAATTTCTAGTCAAAGGCAGAAGAGTGATGTCTCAGCACAAGCTGTCAGGCAGAGAGAATACATTCTCCCTTCCTCCACCTTTTTATTCTATTCAGGCCCTCAGTGGCTTGGGATGAGGCTCACTCACATTGGGCAGGGCCATCTTCTTTACCTAGTTCACCAATTTAAATGTTGATATCATCTGGAAATACTCTCAAAGACACACACAGAAATAATGTTTAATCTTGGAACCCTGTTTCCCAGTTCAGTGGAAACCATCACAATACATTTGCTTTTACAAATAATGAGTTATCCAAGTGGGCCTGATATAATCATATGAGTCCTTAATAGCAGAGAGCTTTTTCCAGCTGGAGGCAGGAAGAGAAGTCAGAGGGATTTTAAGTGTGAGTCCTGAATAAACCCTGGCTGCTACAAAGATGGAGGGCCTTATCGAAAGCATGAAGGAGAATATGCACAGCCTACAGGAGCAGAAAGAACCCCTGACTGGCAGACAGCAGAGGATGGGAACTTTATTCCAACAACCAGTAATCTAAAGTAACTAAATTTGGCAATGACCTAGGTAAGCATGGAAGCAATTTCTTCCTCAGAGTCCCTAGATGAGATCCCTGCCTGGCTAGCGAGACCCTAAATGGAGAGCCCAGTTACAGTGTACTAGGACTCTGACCTGCAGAAACTGTGAGATAACAAATTTGTTATTTAAGCTTGTAAGTTTATGGTAATTAGTTACACAACAATAGACAATTAATATTCCCCACCATTGTGCTTCTTTGGTGCTTCTGCCCTCCTACCTTTGTATGCAGTACCTACAGAAGTGGACTTTGTGGTTCATTGAGTTAAAGGATTTTCAAACCACATCTTCCAAGCGTTGAGGGCAGCCAAAATTCGCAATTCCCGTCTATTAAAGTATTCTAATTTAGAATTGCAATATTGCTTTACTTGAAGAGAACTGAGAATAGGCTATCATAGAGTTTTTCCTAATCAGTTACCAGTACGTGAACTCCCCAAATCAGTAAATTATGCCCTAAACTCACTCAATAGTTGGGGTACAGGAGTTGATATGTGGAAGTGGTCATGGATGGTGCTGACCCAATCACATGAAAAACAAACAAGTTGCTAGTAACGTGATTTTAAAAGTAAAATTTAAAATGTAAGATCAATTTGCAAAGGTAAAAAAAGATTTGACTATAAAAATATCAGAAATATTTAAGATGGGTTGATGAATAAATTCTAAAAATTTGATTCAAACTAGATAGAAAACAGCCAATTTTTTTTAGAGGTTAGGGAAACTAGGTCAGCTCGAAAAAACTTCTACATATTTAGGTAGACTCCAGGCATGTTATGTTACGTTATGTCTTTTCCTTTTGTCTAGCTAAAAAGTGAAAAATAAGCTATGTGCTTTAAGGGATAAATTGGATTTTTACTCTGGTCATTTGAATCTGTGAATGTTGAGCACATTTAACAGGAATAAGATTAAAGAAAGCTAGCTGTAAGAAGCTTCCTACATCAAATCGCTCTGAAGCTTTGAAACTTTCTAAAAGGATCAGATGTTAAAACATAAAAAATAAATAGATACAAATTACTGGTTTATGAATAAAAGTGGAATTATTCAATTTAGAAAACATCTTTGGTAAAAAAGAAGTTCTAAAGACCTCAGAAGCTAAGGTTTAAATTTAGAATTTGGAAATTTTTATGTGTTTTTATTTCTATAGATGTGCTTCAGAATGGCATGTCATTTGCATATCAAAAATTATCACTGTGTAAATAAACTTATTTTTACATAAATAAAGATACTTCAAGGGAAATTGCCACTTATAAACCATAAGATCTTGTGAGAACTCCCTCACTATCACAAGAATAGCATGGGGGAAATTGCCCCATGATTTAATTACCTCCCACCAGGACCCTTTTTTCACTTGTGGGGATTACAATTTGAGATGAGATTTGAGTGGGGATACAGAGCCAAACAATATCATGATCATTAACATATCTCACAGTCTGAGATCTGCAAAGTCCTACTTTCATAAATTGCTTCTACTGTTCTTTGTACTGGCTAGACACAGGCCACAAATTGTGGTTAGTCTAGTACATTATTATATTCTATTTTTATTTCTATAAAAACACTTAAGATTAAAGAAAACTAGCTGTAAGAGGCTTTCCACATCAAATTGCTCTTAAGCTTTGAAACTCTCTAAAAGGAAAAGATGTTTAAACATAAAAAACAAATGATACAAATGACTGGTTTCTGGAAAGAAAAATAGAATGTAATCATTTGGATCTGTGTATGTTGGACACATTTAACAGAAGAATAAGCTATTGGGCTCGCTGTCTCTCCTGCCACCATGTAAGACGTGCCTTTCACCCCTTCACCTTCCACCATGACTGCAAGTTTCCTGAGGCCTTCCCAAACATGAGGAAACTGTAAGTTAATTAAGTATCTTTCCCTTATAAATTACCCAGTCTCAGGAAGTTCTTTATAGCGGTGTGAAAACGGACCTGTACAGATTGTTCTCAGAAGTTTCCCAGATTTTCCGCTATTGGGCAAAATAAAGATGTAACTGCTCCTAAAATAAATCTTAGGGTGCATCTTCCCACCTGAGAAGATGGGGGCCATTTCAGTCTCCATTAATTCACTGGAGTATAGAGTGAATGAAATCCTAAGATATTACTGACCTAGGCTTGTCACTTGCAGAGGGAATCAAGCACTAACCAGGACCTGAAATATGAATCCTAGAGTCAGGTGAGGTAGGGAGGTGAGGAGAAGGAAGATAGTCCTGGTAGAAAAAACAGAAGGAATGTAGGCAGCCCAGGTAACTTCCTTTTGGAATGGAGATGTTGCTGATCAAGATGAAAATGATGCCTTGTATTTTCACGCTTTTCTGAGTTAGAATGCCCATTTCTCTTCTCTTACGGTATCTTCAAAACAGCTTGTTGATATAAGCAAGGCAGGAATTTATTACCCCAATATTGAACATGAGGAAATTGAGGTCCTGAAGGAAACTGGTAGCTCTCCCACAGTCGATCACTGAGAATCTGACACAAGCTGCACTAAAAAATGCTGCTGTGAAAGGTTACACGTATCAATTACACATGTTTTACAATTATTTATGGATGTTTTTGTTCATGTTTGCTTGTAAGGAAACAATGTTAGAGAGTTTATATAATTTATCCAAAATCATACTAGCTAGTAACTATGAGAGCTCACCTTAAAAATCTGTCCAATGCCTAGTCTTCCCTTTACCTGAAATAATGAAAGACCTATTAGGGTGTTAGATCAAGCCCCAAATAATTTGTATCCTCCTTGAGTTAAGTTGGCCACATGGGCAAATCAAGACAACTTAATTCTGTTTGATGGTAGGCTTCCTCCCCACTTTACCATGTCTGACATTTAAAGCTGCTTATGATTTTCACTGTGGCAAAGACCAAGGTATTCTCACATTTGTCCTATGTATATGTTTCAATGGTCGAAGAGCCGTGGTCCAACATTTGCTCATAGAATATCAAATCTACGTGTACTTAGTATGTCAAAAGAGAGTTCTTTCAAATTTTTGTACGGTTAGGGAGATAAAAGAAATGGGGGAAGGCTTGACAGATG